CTCTGAAGAGACGAAACGAAGAAAACAAAGTCATTCCCACAACAAGTCACATTATAATTAAAATACGCATTACTACTAAAACAGTGATGTTGAATGTGCCAAGACTTAAACCTTAAACAGAAATTCAAGATTTCAAACAAAAAAATACTCTCCCTCTCTCTTTCTCCTTCATTTTGCTATATCTTTAACAACAAACATAAGTTTATGCTGATAAAAAATAAAAAATAAGACAGATCTCCTCAGCCAAACAACGTAATGCGTACCCCAATATCACATGTATTTTGTGACAACAACGGGTAAGCTTCACAAACACCAATAAATGACATCAGTTTCGATATTTCTTTGGTTGCGCGGCATATAAAATCTTCTATATTTTCCTGTAACTTCCAGATTCACAAATAAATTTTGTCAAATTCATTTTCCAGGCTTTGTGGGCAGATGGATTTTTGAATGTCATATATGCTTGACAAAGATATTTTCTCAACCCAGAAATGGTAAGCAATAACAGTATCAGAAAAATAAAGCTTACAATGAAAACTTACTGTCAAGTAGGAGATCCGTAAACGCGGTATAATATCTACGAATACTTCCTCAATTATATTCTGTCTTTCAGCATACCATTCCCATCTGCAACAAAATTTATTATCAATTTTTTGCAGTGTGTTTTTCTCATCTAAAACATTAAAATCCCTCAACGAAACTACCAAGAAAAGTATGGCATTTAAATACTTTTGTTATTTTATTAGTTTTATTAAGGCATATAACAAAATTCGAACGGTATGCAATTGATTGCATCCCAGCGCAATCCTATATATTGCCGCAAAGTTAAAACCCTCCAATAAAACAATGATCTGCTACTTCAACAAAAAAGAAATTAAAAAAAATAAAATGCTGAGCTAACCTTGAATAATCACCGAGAAGTGAAATCGCACACATAGCGCGGTCATGATGAGCACTACCATTTACTTGAAACAGATACGAACCAACAAAAAGGCGACGTTTCGGCAATAAAGTCAACTTATGTATTATAGGATTTGATGGCATCGGTGTGCTGAAAGAATTTCATTCTGTCGCAAATAAATTCATAGAGAAACTACAGCCAAAGAATAGTAACACCTTTTTTTTCTTCGATAGAGCAACAAATATATGGATTAGGTTTTTTCCGGCAAACTCGAGCAAATATTTAATATCTGACTTTCAAATATGAAAGGATATTTTCCATTTTACGACAGTTATTATGAACAAAGATAAATAACGAATTAAACCTGCAAATTTGTTCAGCAAGAACGAATTTGGCAACATATTCTTCATCGGAAAGTTGGACTGTACTACTTTCTCCAACTAAATCACAAAGCGTCTCATAATCAGCATGTCCAACGTATTGAACAGTTTGGTCTTTTCTAACACAGCTTGCAGCCGCCTACAACTAATTTTAAATATGCATATAAATTTCTTGAAATCATTATTCATATTTCCATTCATAGTCCTAACAATAAATGCATGAGTAAATACAGATATACAATATTTGAGTTTTTTGATCAAAAATCTTGGGAAAATAGCACCAAAGTTTTTAAATCACAAATTATTGCTTTTCTTTACCCTTTGGGTTCATTTTTAACTTGACTTGAAAGGATATATTAAAATCGATTTCGTCATTCATTACAGCAATTTCTTAATGGTAGCGTGATGGTATAATAAAAACCGCCTTATGAAAGACAATAGCCTTAATTAAGAAATTAAGCTATGATGTCCTGCGGAAAATCATACATTATTGTTTGTCGCGGTGCGACCATAATTAACAATGCATGATCTCTCATTGACTTCTTCATTTTGCTTAACATTCAATATTTCTTTTGCGTGTGAAGATGCCATCGTACTCAATCCACTATACATCGATACAGTGCCTACTATACCCGAATCGAAACCTGACGAAACCATATCTTAAACTTAGTAAACTTTAAATTTCGCATAACCTACTACATATTAATATAAAATACTATACCATTTAAGGAGAATCAAGTTTTGCAAAAATCCTTAAATTTAAAAAACCTTGCAAATCTTCGTTAGTTTTTGCAGTTGTTTCATTAAGTTCCAGTAAATCCTCAACTCCGTTTGGCGAGTTGTTTCTAGCAATTTCTTCCACCTAATTTAATGATCATAAATTCGTGTTACAAGATGCCAAATTTAATTGTAAAATACCTTTAATGTATTGATCAGTGAAATAATAAATTGATTAAATTCTGTCTCTTTAAATAAAAAATATATAAACAAGGCAATTATGAAACATACTTTGTGATCGCTGCTATCCTTATCACTGTTTGTTGAACTTTCAAAGTCGTCATTTCTTGATGTAGAAGCGAAACTTGTCTAATAACATATTAAAAAATAATGGTTAGTGAACTCAATAATACCATCGAGCACTGCTCGTATTCTTGTGTGCTTCTTATTTTGCTTACATGAACAGGGTCTTCATTAACTACTGTTCATAAACTACAACTGAGAAAGAGAGAATAAACATATTACATGTTTGATATGACTAGCAGTTACCTTAGTGGTCCCATCGATAGTTGAACGGCTTTCAGTCATGAATTCATCCAAATACAACCGTTCGTCACTGCACATGATCATATTCATTTTGAAAACATTATGAGGAACTTCAGAAGCTTGCTGAAAACAAAGCAGCAAGAAGAAATGTTTAGAGACTAGAAAGAATGCAAACTCAGAAATGGTTAAATGTAAAGTACTAGATAATGAAGAACTATCGAAAGCTAACATCATAGCGGTAATGATCGAGATCTTTACTGGTATCAGTACACATGGTATCGGATATTGCTTCTGTCAATAGTTTACTCTGAAACTGCTATACATTTTAAATATCATGATCATCAATTTGCTTTTTTATTAAAAAATTCCGGAAGAAACTGACATGCTATTTCATCACTAAAGTAAGTAACTCACTCTGTAAACATCATCAATTTCTTCATAATCAGCACCACTACTACAATCTTTAGTAACGGAAGAAGTGAGACTCGAATCATCACGCGAACTACTCGACAGTGAACTTTTGCCGCTTGATGTAGCTTCGTTTGTAGCAGAAACTGCTTCCCAAGTGAAACCCAGTTCAGGTCCAGTCATATAATCAAATGATGACCATACTACTTTTCGAATAGCACATAAATGACGGACTGGAACTTGAATTTTGCATGACGAATCCTGAAACAATAGTGATGAGCGATGAGAAGGTCAAGGGGTAAGATGGCCTACTCAAAATTTGCAATTGCTCACCTCAATGGCTTCGTAGATTCGAAGGAATGTGTCAGCCTCCACTGCTTCCGATACCATTTCCGCCATTGTCAGTGCCTTCCCTGTCGTAAATTGAACAACCTGTCAAGACACATTCCTTCCGAAACAGTTACAGTCTCTCTTTTGTAGAGAACGTAATCGCGCAAATGTCCATTCACTTATGACTACGATAGAAAGAACACAATGAAAACAGTAACATCCTATACACGTACGTCAGTCATACACGTGCAGTCACTCATGTTTGCGTAATGTCCTTGCGTAAATTATGCTTTGGTGATCGAAGAAGAAACAGTTTTCTTCATATTTGAAAGACATAATTGAAGACATTTTATATTTCTTAACGTTGCATTTTCCTATCATATGAATTTCTGAAAAAAGACAAATTTCTATATTTTATATTTCAACGTTCATGTAACAGATCGGTTTCAAGCATGTCAGTTAACCATTCATTTTTCGAAAAAAAACAGCATTCTAAAAGCAGGGCATACCAAATAGTTAAAAGGAGCAAGAAGTAATTTGAAAGGTGTGATTTAGATAAGCATGTCAACATATTATCATATTTATGATGCGTAGCTGTCGTACATATCTTGAATCCTACAACGTGTGCAATGGCAAAGCTTTAATTGCAAATAAAAAATTGCTTGCATAATTTAAAATTTTCTTCCTGCTTTGCTAGCAAGCATAAAGAACAACGTGAAAAATAAAGAATAAGTGCACTTTAATAGTGTACGGTCAGCAATTCGAATTAATCACTCATTTTTTCTTTTGATATCTTTCTTGACGTTTCCGCGCAATAAGATCATCATATTCCTTGATTAGTGATATTATATCTGGAGTTTTGATCAGTAAATCCTCTGCTAGTAGAATATCGATAACCATCCGATAGATAAATAAATACTGCTAAAATGTTCGTTGTGGAAGAAAGTACTGTTAATTTGACCGAAACTAACTGCTATTTTGAATTGACACTAAAATTTTTCTAAGACCTTGTCAAAACTCCGTAACCTTTTGCCTCTAATTACTTATCACATTTCAAAGAAATCTTTTAGTTATCTATTCGTGTTGATCTACTTTTTACTAATAAAAAATAATGATCATTTAATGTAAACTATATTCTGGAGAGGATTTGGATTCTTTTCAATGTTTCCAAATAGCTACTTCTATGGTTTTGTATTCTTTGTGTTTTTTGTTAGGAAAATTATAGCTGTTGTTATTGTACAACGAAGAAAAATGAATAATAATCTGTTAGTGAAATAAGGTTGGTGACAACGATGATACCTGATCATTTTGCACCGCATGCATTCGCTGATCACGTAATTCCTTAACAATATTAGGAATTAAAACATTTTCAGCATGTTTAAGCCGATCAATTGCCATAAATATTGCAGCAAATGTGCCTGTCCTACAAATTAGGTTGAATTTTTTTGACTTGTGCAAATTCGATCTTACTTCAGTTTAATTTTGCTAAATTTATATTTAATAATTAGACTATTTCACCCCATGAGATGGTTGTGAGTAAAAATAACATTGAAAAAATAACTCCATTTATTAAATAGCAATTAAAAAATAAAAAATAAGAATGTATCAAGCAAATAATAGATCCAATTGCTATTTGATTGCAAATTAAAAATTTTAAACTAAAATGAAAGACTCATACCGACTGCAATTTTTTACTTCGCTCAATGAAAGAAACAATTGGATTTACCTTAGTGCCACTAAAACTATATTTTTTAATTTTGAACTGTTTCAGTTAAATTAAAGATCTTGAAATTGCAAAAAGTTTGCAAAACTTCTCTCTTAGTTGTTTATAATGTACAAGAAGAATAAATCAATAAGTCACGAAATATTTGCTTGTATCAATCAATAAAAAAAAAAGCTTTTACGGCCGTACTGACTTTCAATAAAAAAAAATTTTTACTGAAGTTTAATTTTTTAAACTAATATTTTATCATCTTACTTTTTCGACATAAATCTTGAATGTTTTATTTTTAATTCATTTCAACATTGATTACCTTCCAATTCCAGCGCTACAATGCACAGTTATGGGCTTTTTTTCAGAAAATTTCAGAGCCAGTGCCCGTACTTCACGACATACCGATATTGAGTCTGGTACAAAATGATCGGGCCAACCACCGTACAATAAATGTAACACCTTCAAAGTAAGCCATATAATTATGAAGTGCAACTTAAAGTAACTCAAACGATTGACTCATTCATCAATTAGAGTGAATTTTAGGTGGTCTCTTGTAGTGTTTATTAAAATGTTTTACATTTGAAACAATTTTTAGGATACACGTTTATAAGCATTTAGCGCATAGATATTATCATGAAAACTTATTAACGAAATCGACACTTTGATAATATGCTTCTGCCCTGAAGCAGGATATAATGATATGAATGTAATAAAATGGTAGGAATTCAGATGTTATGGATAAATCTATTGAAGTATCAAATTGATCAGATAGTTTTTAAGCTAAAATTAATAAATTGCTTTAGAACTAAAACCGCGTTTTAAAGTGATTAACTTAATTTGAAAATAAATATCCCATTTCGAATCTGACAATTTTGTATATTAATGAATTAAATCAAAAACGGTACTACCTTCAGTGGCCTTTATTTTAAATGAAATGATGAGGACAAAAAAGAGTTTGCTAAAAATATGATTTGTAATTTTAGCTTGATTCTTTTTAAAGAAATTAGTGTTAACTTATAGATATTAAGCTATCTCAGAGAGTATAGGTCAGATTCTGCACTAACCTCATGTTTTTTATCCTTATAAATAGCTTGTATTTTTGTTTGATAAACTTTTCGAAGTTGTATCACAGGTATAGTTTTTTCGACAATTTTAATGTGAATGGCGCCGTAATCTTTCGATTCCTGATCACTGCTCGGGAAATATTCGGTACATTGAGTTTTGCCCTCCTCAGTCCATTGACATAATTGTATTATTACCTATGATTAGCAATGCCCAATTTTATTAAAATAAGAAAAATCGTGTTGTTTGTAGAGCTTTAGAGGAACAAAAAAAAAAACCAGTCAAAAATAATTGGAATGGCGGGTTAGTGAAACAAGCTGCAGAAAAGCCTTAAATGGGCTTAGTAGCACAACAGTTTTCACTGCTATAATTTGTAATTCCAATTTGAAAAGTGCACTTATTGTGATTGTTTTACTGACCTTTGAATCTTCCTGTATAACCATACACCAAAAATCCCCAATAGTATTTGGCAGAGGCCCTTGAGCACAAATGAATTTAATATTTTCGCCAATTTGTACGTATGAAGCATGGTAGTAATCATCATCTATTATTATTTGTTTCATTTTTTCAATTTTAATTCAATCAAATTCGAATTACTTTCAATTATTCATTCTTAAAATTTGCATGAAATACAATTTTTGCCAAAATTAC